CCAAGGAGGGGTCACTAGGAGTCGGAACCAACTCAACAGCAGTGAGTTTGGGTTTTTTTTGGTTATGAAAAAAGAAACCAGTAATGTGGTATTTTAGTTGTCTAGGGCTGTTATAGGAGCTCTGGTGGCGTAGTGCCTAAGGCAATCTGACTGCTAATGAGAAGGCTGTCAGTTCAAACCCACCAGCCACTTCTCAGAAGGAAGGTTGGGCAATCTACTTCTGTAGTGATACTGCCTTGGAGGGGTCACTATGAGTCAGATACGACTCAAGGGCAGTAAGTTTGGTTTTGAGTTAGTGCTATTGTAACAGAAATACCACAAATTGATGGCTTTAACAGAGCCATTTGTTCTCTCACAGTTTAGAAGGTGAACAGTCTGAGTTCAGAGTGCCGACTCTAGGGGAAAGCTTTCTGTCTATGTCTCTTGTTCCTAGGACAATCCCAGCACAGCGATCCTGGGTCCAATGGACACACTCTGCTCCTGGCTCCTTTTTCTTGGTGGTAGTAGGTGCCCTGCTCTCTGCTCCCATCTCTCTCATCTCTTGTCAGATAAAAGGTATCGCAGGCCACACCCCAAGGGAGCTCCCCTTAATCACGACTGTGATGACACAAAGGGTGTTGCATCCCACCCTTAATCCTCTTCCACCTGACTGGTTTATCACATCAGATCACGTCATGTGGTATCATCATGACATAACTGCTAAACCACTGGAATCATGGCCCAGCCAAGTTGGGGGGACACAATTCAATCCATGACATGCAGTAAACAAAGCGATAGAGAAACCTATTACAAAATCACACCCAGGGTGACAAATACAGGCTCTGGAAGCAAGACTCTCTGGGCAGAGGGGGCACCAGTCTGGTTATGTCTCCTCTTCCCGTCTCTCTGGCGCTGTCCTCAAGTGGGGTCAGTGCCACAGATGATAGGCACTAGTTCGCTGGCTCACACATGGCATGTCTAATCTGAATAAACACCCAGGAGGGGAGCTCTGCTCTCAGGGGCAAGGGCCATGTCCTAGGCACCACCCCCAAAGCACAGCAGTGGGTCAAGGCCATGGAAGGGGTGCATGAAACAGAGTTTGTAGGACTGAATACCTGGGATAAGGGCTGTCCCTTAGAACTGGCAGGTGTGTAAGAGGCTGCTGACAGAACATCTGAATTAGGAGGACAGACCTCACAGCCTACGTTTCTTTGCAGTCTTTGATTCCATTGGTCACAAGCAGCCTGAGGGTTTGAGGCTGGGGAGGAAGGCTCTCAAGGTGATGTCCGACTGGGTGCAGACTTGGACATCCCCTCTCAAGGAAGCACTCTCTGACAATGGGAGAACAGTACTCAGCAGCAACTGTCACAGAATTTTGGAGTACTGTGCTGAGGGTCTTAGATGTATTACTATATATAAACTTCCCAACCACAAGGCAAGTACTACGATTGCCCATATTTTACAGAGGAGCAAACTGAGGTCCAGAGACATAAACTTACTTCCCAGCCCCATAGGGGGCAAGTGGCAGAGTTCTCAGCCCCTACAGGCTACCGAAGCAGGAAAAGAACAGAAAGGAGACTTGCCTAGGGGGTCTGGGGCTTGATGAGGGCCAGTGGTCGGAACTTAGGGTTTAGCCAGAACTTGTAGGGCCTTGGATGTCACACAAGAGGGCTGAGGTCCTCTGGCCTGCTAGAACTCAGGATCTATGCCCTTTTTCTGGGCAGGACAGCCATGAGGGTGGAAAGTGGGAGGAGATGCAGTGAGGAGGGGGCTGCATGGGGACAGAAGCCTGGCTGGGGAGGTGATGGCAGGTGGGATGAAGGTGGCCTGTTGCAAAAGCTGACCTCATCACTCAAGGTCACCCAGTGTCCAGCTCTCAGCCCCCCGCCTGGATGCCGGCTTGCTGTGAAAACTTCTCCGGCTGGATTCATGCATGGAGAGTCCCCAAAGTGCACTCATGTGACAGGAAACATGGACTTGGCACAGCTGTCTGGGATGTTGCAATTCTGTGAACTTTCTGGGCAGGCCAAGATCCCTTGTTTCGAGCAGATTTTTGTGCCTATGCCGTCTGCCCCACTGTCCCCCAGTAGCTCAGGGACCTGGAGCCCTGCTACCTGGTCCAGGTGAGGCCTGCAGGGTCCCCAGGATGAACTAGATGGGCCAGGGCAGGCTGAGGAACCTGAAGGTCTCATTAATCCTGCCCACAGGGACATTAATCTTCTGCAAGATCTTGCCAAAGGAGAAATAAAACCAGATTTGTGGCTTCAGTTTCTTCCAATCAGCTCTAAATATGTGGCCTTGGGTTAGTCACTTAACCCTTGAGGGCCTAGGGTTTGACTGGACAATGACTAAAGATCATTGCCATGTTGTTCTCCTGCTGATATGTTGGGACGACAGGAGTGCCTCTCTCTGCTTAGTAAGATATTAATTTTAAAAAAAAGAGTGTTTCCAAATTCCACTGAAGGGTATTATGAAGTCATTCAGTAACAATGGCACTTGGTGCTCAGCCTGAACTGGTGGCTGCCCACAGCACAAGGCTTCTGCTTACTCAGCAGCTTCAACCACACCTCCACTGCTGGCTGGACTTGGGCAGGGCACGGGGGTGAGAGCAGAGGTGCCTGTAACTTAAAAAAATAAATGACATGATGTTCTTCATGGGAATTTTACCCCCGAGTGCATGCACAATTATAAAAACAAATGTGACAACCCCACTAAAAGGCAGAGAAGCATCTGCTATTAAACCCCAGGTTGGGCACACACGCTGCTGAAATACACGCACCTCGCTGGCTCGTGGAGACCGTCTCTGTGGTCTGCCACGGGTGCCTTCAAAACAGGACGTAGTGGGAATCACTTGTTCACCTAAATATTAACTAAGCATGTGTAAGACACCCGCACAGACGGGCTGTCACACAGGTGGGCTCAGGAGTCAGATCACCTGCATTTGCCTTCTGCCTCCACCTTTTAATAACTATGACCCTGCGCAGGGGACTTGGGCTAAATCTCAGTTTTCATGTCTGTAAAGTAGGGATAACAGAGACTCTCATAACTTACAGGGTTGCTATTAAAATAGGAATTGTAAAGAGCATAGGGTGATGTTTGTACACAGGTGTTAATGTTGCTAACTGCTGGTGAATGAGTTCTGACTCACGGTGACCTTATGTAAAACAGAACAAAATATTGCCTGGTCCTGCACCATCCTCACAATCAATGGTATGTTTGAGCTCATCATTGCAGCCAGATGTCAATCCATCTCATTGAAGGTCTCTATTTTCTGCTGATCATGCTCTATACCAAACATGACATCCTTTTCAGTGATGATCCTTCCTGATGACGTGTCCAAAGTAAGTGAGAGTCACTTCTGAGGAGCATTCTGGCTGTACTTCCTCCAAGACTGATGTGTTTGTTCTTCTCATTCCCCACAGTATATTCAATATTCTTCAACAACACCACAGTTCAAATGATGAGGCGACTGAAAGCACTGTGGTTGGTCTCAGCTGGTGGCGAAGGGTAATGAGGATGAGGGAGACTTCCCAAGTCCCAGGCTCAAGAGACACCTGCTCAAGTCAGGTGTCTGAAAAGGCAGGTGCAGTGTGGTCCTCGAGGTGCTCCAACAGGGCATCCCTTCATCCTCTGAGGCCACGGGTTGCCCACTGACTGCAACCCTCACCGTGTTCTGTCAATGACAGGAGCTCCCCAGGGCCGACTTCAAAGGGTGCCAGCTCCTCTGGTATGGGAGCATGCAAGCAGCAGCCAAAGCAGGTAGGGCGGGAAGCTGGGGCTGCCACTTAGGGCTGGCACTGGGGGCAGCTCACAGTCCCAGACCCCTGGCAATGACCAAGGGGGGCCCTGCCCTTGATCTCCTAGGGTTGTGTCATTATGGATAGGAGGTGATCTGCATACTGTGGAGTGACAGGGAGGATCACTGTAAGGACCACAGTGGAGCAAGGGGATGGAGAATTTACATGCAAATTCAGCCCTTGATGCTCTGGTCTCTTGCCATCCATGAATGGATGCACAAATGGACTTGTCCACCAACCAGCTACCTTCCTGACTGTTCAAAGACCAGCTCGAACTTCAGTTTGCAACAAAGCTGCAAACTGAATGATCTTCCTGCTGGGGTTTCCTGTCCCGTGTACTCATGCACCTTGGTCACAGCCCTTGTTATGCACTGCCATGCATCTGACCATGGTTTTCAACAGTTTTTCTGCCCTGCACACCAGAGCGTTAAAATTCTCCATGCAGATGCAGTGGCTTACAGAGGCATGCTTAGTCATAAGACTCTTTCTCTTTATGTTTTGGTACCTTCTTTGACAGGTACACACCATATCTATAAGATATTTGCTGAAACAATTCCTCATTTATCTGATCTATAAACTCCTACTCATTCCAGAAAGCCCTACATCCATGTCACCTCCTCTATGAAGCCTTCCCAGACTCCTTCCCTGTAGATACAATTTCCTGCTGTCTCACCAGTGCTCCCAAGCTCTCTCTTCACACTCTTACTGATGAATAAAGACTTAGAGCTGACATTTACTGGGGGCTTATTACATGCCAGGTGCCATGCAGAGAGCCCTATGTTGATCATCCCATATAGTCCACATCCCAGATCTGCTGAGTCTGTGCCATGATTGGTGTTTTGCAGATAAGGAAATCAAGGCTCTGATTCTCAGATGTTAAGTGAGATGTCCAAGGGTGTACACAAGAGAACTGAGATCTGAACCCAGGCCAACCTGACTCCAGAGCCCACACTGTTACCTGCCACGCCAGCCTGTCCAGGCCTGATAGACCAGGAGACACAGAGCTCCCTCAAGCAGGGGCCATGCCAGTTTCATGTCCATGCCCAGGCTCAGGCTGGACACATCAGACAAGGTGGGAAGGGAGGAAAGGGGGTGGGGGCTGGGCAGGGCAAGGGAAGGGAGGAGACGGAGCACAGAGTGGGGAGGGGAGGAAAAAGATGAGGTCAGGGCAGGACAGAGGAAGGGCGGAGGGAAGGACAGGGGAGCGGAGGGCCGGGTGCCAACCTTGCGGTGCTGCTCATAGTTGCGGATGAAGTCCCGAAGCTGCTCTTCGCGGCTCTCCAGCGTGGCGTACAGCTGCTGCATCTGGCTCACCAGGTCCGTCTTCTCGCCCTTTAAGCGCTTTCGGTCGGCTTTCATGGCTGGGGACAGAATAGCTAGTTAGTTCTCAAGACCCTGGCTGTCTCCTCCAGATGGCCCAATGCTGAATCAACAGTGATAAAACAGGGATTCAAAAAGAGGAAGTGTCTTCCCCAAGCTCCCACGTCACTTAGAGGCCCTCCCAGGATCTGAACCCAGGCCCTTGTGTTCAGAGTTCCTACTCTCACCTCTCAGTTTCTCAGTTGTGCTGATCCATTCAGAGGAGCCCATCTTTGGACATTTGTCCCAGGTCCAAACTGCCTGGATGTCCACTGGGAAGCAGCCAGAGGCTACGTGAGCTCCTGACCCCCATGGCCCAGCAAGCCAATGGGGAACCCAACTTCCTGCTGAGGCTTCAAACCCCACATTTCACTCTGAGCTCCTCAAAACAACCCAGCTCAGCTCAACTGTCCGTCACCCACTCCATGTCCCCATTGGGAGAGGGTTATCATGTGGTGAATATGACATCAAAAGCAAAAAAAAGAAAAGAAAGAAAAAACTGACAAAATGGACTTCATCAGAATTAAAAAACGTTCTGTGATTCAAAGGACACCAACAAGAAATTAAAAAGATAATTGACAGAATGGGAGAGAATATTTGCAAATCAAATCTGATAAAGGACTTGTATCTGGAGTATATAAAGTATTCTTAAACTAAAACCAAACCAAACCCACTGCTGGCGAGTAGGACCCGACTAATAGCGACCCCTCCTTGGGTTTCCAAGGCAGTATCACTATGGAAGTAGATTGCCCCATCTTCCTTCCGAGGAGTGGCTGGTAGGATTGAACTGCCAGCCTTCTGGTTAGCAGTCAAATGCCTTAGCCACTATGCTACCAGAGCTCCCGATAACCAATAAGCACATGAAAAGATGAACAACATCATTAGTCATTAAAACCCACTGCCATCAAGTCAAATTCTCACTCATAGAAACCCTATAGGTCACAGTAGAACTGCACCATAGGGTTTCCAAGGCTGTAAATCTTTACAGAAGCAGACTGCCTGCCTCATCTTTCTCCTGTGGAGTGGCTGGTGGGTTTGAACTGCCAACCAGTCAAGCGCTTAACCTCTAACCACCAGAGTGTCTCCCTCATTAGCCAATGGGGAAATCAAAACCACAATGAGATACCACTTCATACCCACTAGAATGACTAGAATAAGGAAGTCAGACAATAACAAGTGTTGGCAAGGATGTGGAGAAATAGAATCCTCCTGCATTGTCTGTGGGAATGCAGCATGAGGCAGCACTTTGGAAAACCCTCTGGCAGTTTCTCCAAAAACTAAACAAAGTTACCATATACCCCAACAATTCCACTCCTAGGTATATACCCAAGAGAAAGAAATGAAGTGCTGAAACATGCTACAAAGTGGATGAACTTTAAAAACATACCACGTGAATGGGCAGTACAGACAACAAATATGAACCCCTTTGCATATACAGTACTGAGTTGTCAGTGAAAGCAAACATGGGTATAGGGACGGATAGATGGGTGAACA